TGCAGCCTAAATTTGCAAATAACAATATTAAATTATTATTTATATTATATTATTAAAGTTAAATTTAAGGTTTGGCAATGACATCATATGTCTCCTGTGATACTTTTTTTTTTTACTAAGGATTGCCCTAACTGAACAGTTGTGTCAATAATTTATTATTCAAACCAGTTCCCATATCAGGGTCAGTACCCCACTGTGAATCATGAAACAGCATGTAAACATCCCTAAATAATCCTTAAATGTCCAGTAAAAAAATACAAAATGAGCAAGTTATGCCTTTTTTTTTCTTGATACACTATACATAAAATAACCATAAAATTTATAATAAAATACAATAATTGCTGTAAAGGCTGTTTGGATTGTCATGTCCTTGGTGCACAGGGTTGAGGGCAATGAGTATATTCTTAGTATTTGGGTTAGATGTTATTTTGTTGGTTTGACTTTTTAAATAACTAAATAAAAAAAAAAAAAACTTTATTTTACCAGGAAAGAATCTGCAAAGTTTGGGAAACTGATTCAGACAACTCTTATTGTGACAGCGTTCAGTCTAAAAGTGAGTTTTTAAATTCTTAACTAGTTTAAAAGTTAAACAAGTTCTGAAACAGAATTTTGATTTGTCATCTTATTTACACGTTTTCTTTTTTCTGGTTTCCAGTTTTGCAACATACTAAGACTCATGATGCGTTTAAATTCATCAGCTTCTTTTGTCATGCGTTCAGACTGCTCTAAACTTTCACCTCACATTTTTGTCCAAAAATAGGACTGTTGAGGAGATTCATTTAAACGTTACTGACTCAGAAGAAAACTAGTTCACGTTTGCCCTGGAAGGTGGAATAAAATCAGAGCGGAGTGAGACATCTTGCTCCCCTGTCTGCGCTCTCAGGTAGGCAGGTCGTGACAACAAGCCCCGCCCCTTCGATGACTCAGAGGATACCTCTCTTCCTTCTCACAGACGCAGCTTACCTGAGCCGTCAGCTGCTGTTGTCTGCAGGTGTGAGGAGGACGAGAGAGGCCATGGAATAACTGAGGAAGATTAATAATCCTCATCAGCTGAATGAAGACCGTCCACAGAGCTCAGAGAAGTGAGTAGGTCTTGTCACTTTGAATTTCTGACCCAAAAGCTGCTTTAAAATTAGTTATTGTCCTACAGCAGGAAGCAGAACTAAGTAAATGTGTAATTAATCATTCAGCAGTTTTTTTTCCTCTATTGAAGTGGCAGCTCCGAGCAAATTGTACATTTAGTTGTGCAAATAATGTAACACCCAGGCATGGCATGCTTTACTATCACAGAGTAAACAAATTCACATGGTGTTCAGGAGGATTCTTATCAATTTGTGTTACAAAATGTAATCTATTTTGAATTTTTTTTTGTCTTTAGAACAACAAATTTCAACAGAAATGTTGTAATAAAGTAGTATAAATTGTTATGAGCTTATTTCCCCCACAAATTGATTAAAATAAAACAATACAGCTTGAGTAAGTTAAAAGGTGGACTCCTGTGTTTAGTTGCTCAGCCGTGCTGCATTTCAGTGATGTATTAAGTAGAACAGCATAGAAACACTGTTGCCTTGGTGACCACGTTTCAGCATGTATCTCTCCAATAATGTCCTAATTTATAAAAAAAAAAAAAAAAAAAAAATTGCTGAATGTAGTTAAATTCACCAGGCATCCTGATTTAGATTTAGATGAAGGGTAAGGTTTTGAACAGGTTAAGTTCCTTCTTTTTCCAGGTTTTCAGGTAAATTGAACAGAATCTGAATCATCAAGTTTCATTTTGAACAAGAAGTCCAGCTCGTCTGCTCCCAGAATTGAGAAATAAGGAAATACAGCCCCATCCAGGTCCCGCCTTGCTCAAGCAAAGTGATCCTGTTAAAACTTGTCAGAGCAGGTGTCGTAGCACGAAACACGAGCATGCTGTCGTTTGTGTTTGTGGCGCGGGGAGAGGAGCTGTAATGGTGGAAAAAGAATTGTGAAAATGTGAAACATCTTAATAAATTACAGGCTGCTGCTCGGAGAGGAAAGCTTACCACACCTCCTCCTTTGACAGATGACGTTTAACATTTCAAGGTTGTCAGCTCTTTAACAAAAAGCTACTTTGCAGTCGTGAGTGTTCCCAGTAAATTTCCCATAATTGAGGGCAGAAACTTGTGGAAAAAGCTGCACAGGGCTTTAAAGCAAATGTGCCGCAGAGCCGTCACTGACAGGAATTTACAACATGAATGTCTGCATTTCAAAGCTCACCTGTCTTTTTCTGCAGATCTTGACTGACACAAAGCCCCAGGAATAAGGAAGTCCACAAAGTTGTCTTGTCAGTTTGCCAGCTGATAAATTAACACTTAAAGGCACTCACAGTAAACTATGAATACCAAACATAAAAACATCCTGAACTAAATCAAACGGTTCAAGTCGAAAGACTTTACTCCAGTTGTTTTCTGGATATATTGAGATACAAATCTGAAACGCGGGTATGCACTTAATGTAAACAAAGACTTTTGCCTTGTAACTTCAACAAATCTGAGCGTAAATACGTAGCGACACATCACAGTTGTTGAACTTTCCTAATCTCCAATAGCTCTTTCAGGGACTCAGTCATTACTGACATACTTCCAATCACTTTGGCTGTTTCAATAGGTAAACAAATGTGATTCCGTAGGTAAACAAATGTATTTCCGTAGGTAAACAAATGTATTTCCATAGGTAAACAAATGTATTTCCATAGGTAAACAAATGTATTTTCGTAGGTAAACAAATGTATTTCCGTAGGTAAACAAATGTATTTCCATAAGTAAACAAATGTATTTCCATAGGTAAACAAATGTGTTTCAGTAGGTAAACAAATATATTTACGTAGGTAAACAAATATGTTTCAGTAGGTAAACAAATGTGTTTTTGTAGGTAAACATGTGTTTCTATAGGTAAACATGTGTTTCAGTAGGTAAACACACATGTTTTAGTAGGTAAACAAATATGTTTCAGTAGGTAAACATGTGCTTCTGTAGGTAAACATGTGTTTCTGTAGGTAAACAAACATATTTCAGAAGGTAAACAAACATGTTTTAGTAGGTAAACAGCATGTTTTAGTAGGTAAACAAACGTTTCAGTTGGTAAACATGTGCTTCTGTAGGTAAACATGTGTTTCTGTAGGTAAACAAACATTTCAGAAGGTAAACAAGCATGTTTCAGTAGGTAAACAAATGTTTCCATAGGTAAACAAACGTGTTTCAGTAGGTAA